AAAAAAAAGAACAGAGCCTCAGGGACATGTGGAACTATAAAAAAAGATCTAGCACTCATGTCACTGAAGTCATGGAATAGGATGATAAAGAAGGCAAGCCTGGACTAGTACTCAAAGAAGTGATGGCTGGTAATGCCTCAAATTTGGCAAAGCAACAACAACAAAAACACACCCTTTATTTTATTTTATTTTTTGACCGGTAAGGGGATCTTAACCCTTGACTTGGTGTTATCAGCACCGCACTCTCCCGAGTGAGCCACGGGCCGGCCCCAAAACACACCCTTTAGATTTAAGAAGCTAAGCAAATACCAAACAAGATAAGCTCAAAGAAATACATGCCAAGGCACATCATAGTCAAACTTCTGAATACTAAAGACAAAGAAAAAATACTGAAAGAAGCAAAAGATAAATGGTATCTTATCTCTAGGGATTAAGCCATTGGAGGGACAACAGATTTCTCTTTAGAAACCATGGAGGCCAGCAGGAAACGGCACAACACTTTCAAGTGCTGAAAAGAAAAGAACTGTCAACTCAGAATCCTATACACCACATAAATATCCTTCAGAAATGAGGGAAAATTGATTCATTCTCAGAGGAAGAAAAACTAAGTGTGATGGTTAGTTTTAGGTGTCAACTTGACTAGATTAAGGAATACCTAGAAACCTGATTAAGCATTATTTTTGGGTGTGTCTGTGAGGGTCTTTCCAGAAAAGACTAGCATGTGAGCCTTGAGTGGAATAGGTGGAGAAGATCTGCTGCCAATATGGACAGGCACAATCCAATCTTTTGGAAGCCCAGAGAGAAGTAAAACAGAGAAAAAGGTGGATGTGTCAGTCTATCTGCTGGAGCTGGGATATACTCTTCTCTCCTGTTCTTGGACATCAGAACTCCAGACTCCCCAGCCTTTGGGTTCCAGGACTTGTACCAGCACCTTTCTGGGTTCTCAGGCCTTTGGTTGAAAATTACACCATTGGCTTCTTTGGTTCTGAGGCTTTCAAACTTGGACTAAACCACCTATCAGCGTCCTGGGGTCTCCAGTTTGCAGAAGGTCTATTGTGAGATGCCTCAGCCTTCATAATCATGTAAGTCAATACACCTAATAAATACCCTCTCATATATCTGCTCTACATATCCTATTGATTCTGTCCTTCTGCAGAATCCTGACTAATACAGAAATTTGTGCCAAGAAGTGGGATGTTGCTTATAACAAATATCTGAAAACACAGAAGCGGCTTTGGAACTGGGTAATGGGCAGAGGCTGGAAGAATTTGGAGGAGCAGGCTAGAAAAAGCCTAGATTCTGGTGAGGGCTTGGAAGACAAGAAAAATAGAGGAAGTTTGGAAGTTCTAATAGCTTATGCTGAATTATGGCAGCAAAGGCATGGTACAAAAGTGGAATTTATAATTAAAAGGGAAGCAGAACATAAAAAATTGGAAAATTCTCAGCCTGATCATATAAAGAGTGAAAAGTGTTTTCTGGAGGGGAAACCAAGAATGTAACCCATGGTTATCTGCTAAGAAGATTAGTTGCCAACTTTAAAAAAATGTCTAAAAGAAGTTCTCTAGGCAAAAGGAAAATGGTAAAAAAAAAAAAAAAAAAAAAAAAGGGTTCCTATCTTTGGGGGTCAGTTTCCTGAAACCACTTTGGTCTTCAGTTGCAGTCTCTGTTTAGGTTTACTCAGGAAAACAAACAGAAAACACTCAAAAGTGTTTCAAGCAGAGGGGGATTAAACGCCAGGAATAGATGCATAGAAAACTCCTGCAAAGACTAGAAGAGCAAAAAACAGGAAATAACATCACCATCTTCAGGTCAATCACTGAAACTCTACTTCCGTACAGCAAAAAGTTCCTATTGGGAAACTTCAGGGCATTTCCATTCAGGAACACAGTTTCCCTGCTGTGCCAAGGTGGGAGGCTGGTAAAAAAGCACATCATGTCTGTTGCAGTCCATGCATCTGTTTCTCTTGTTAGGGAAAGAAAATAGTTTCTTGCCTTTATTCCATTTCCCAATTTTCACATAAACATATCTTTTTGGCAGAAGGCAGATAACATCCAGCAACACGGAGGCAAAGGAATCTAGGAGTTTAGTTCCCTGGCCTCCAGTACCTGCGATGCCTAGAAAGAACATAGACAGAAATGGGGATAAATGCAGACTGGCTTCTCCTTCCTGCCTCCCATGCATCTAGCATCGCAGGCATCTCCAAACTTTTATGAAGGCTGTAATTTCAAATCCAAATGAATGAGAAACTTTCCAGAGACATTCGACCCAGCCCTCCTAGCTCACCACCCACCTCCGCCTGCCATACACATTTTTGCCTACTGTTCTTTGTTGTATACTTTCCTGCCCTCTTTTCCATTTTTACTTTTCTGCCTCTCTGGCTAGTCTTTGTGCCTCTGAGCTTCAGAACCCAGAGTATGCAGAGGATGATTGAAGCCGGAAGCTAAGGGGAAGAGAAAGAAAGAGGATTGCTTCTAATTTTCTCAAGTCTAAGTACAAGTAATGTTCTGATGACTCTGTCCTTCTCTCTTCCCCATGTTAAAATAATGGGAATTTTGTCTTTTTTTTTTTTTTTTTTTTTAAAGATGACCGGTAAGGGGATCTTAACCCTTGACTTGGTGTTGTCAGCACCACGCTCAGCCAGTGAGCGAACCAGCCATCCCTATATGGGATCCGAACCCGTGGCCTTGGTGTTATCAGCACCGCACTCTACCGAGTGAGCCACAGGCCGGCCCAATAATGGGAATTTTGAAAGTTCATTATCTTCCTAAAACTCTCATGAGCCAGCTAGAGAGCTTAGATTTACCAAAAATCCAGGTCTAGATAGTTAATTTTCCAGCTAAGATGATAGATGTATCAAATGTATGGTATCTTAATATCTTTTTCATTTTTACACATACAAACAGTATATATATTCACAGTGTACATATATATGAATACATACCTACGAGGATATCTCCCAACTTTTATGAAGGCTGTAATTTCAATTCCATATATATAAATAGAGAGAGAGAGTTCAAGTCTACTGTTGTGCCAGTGAGTTCCATGTATTTTTAAAATTCCATCCGTCTCTGTGAAATGATAAACTGAAGCTCAGAGAGGTTGAGTGACTTGTCCACGATCTAACAACTACACAAGAACCCCCATCTGCCCATATTGGTTTCCATGAACTATGACAGGAAAAGATACCCTAAAATTAGTGACTAGAGACTAACCAAATCTTTCTGTCTGGCCTCCCTGTGAGAACCACCTCCCGCCTTGACAGTGTCCCAGGAACTTCTCCCGAAGTCTTCGGGCTGCCCGCCGTGACTCCTCGCCAGTGCGGCTCCGCACCCCGGCAGGGGGCGCAGGGAGCATCCCGGCCCCCGCACCGGCCAGCGATGGAGTAGGCGTGCCCGGGGTTGGCCCGCTCGGGGCTGGTGGGACAGGACTCCACCGCCGAGGGGCTGAGAGGGGGCAGGGAGGGGGAGGGCGGGGACTGCCCGCCCCCTGGCCCGGTCCCATTGGCCAAGAGCTTCCGGGCATTCCCATCCCACCGCCCGCCTCCAGGGAGAGGCTTAAAGTGTGCGGAGCAGGTGCCTCGTGGGGGGCAGCAACTTTGCGCTGGTGTCCAGGCCGAGCGTGGCGCCCATTCATTCTCCCGAGAGTCCACCCATCTGCCCGGACGGTCGTCCACCTGGGGAGCCAAGACCAGAAGAGGGGCCCAGAGCGCGGCTGAGCCGCGCGGGTTGGG